ACATGCTGATGGCAGAGAAAAATCTTTGTGCCTGGTACATTCCCAACACCTTAGTCCATTGACTAAGCAGTGCTTGCAGGGAGTTAAGGAAAAATCCACGAGATTAAGCACTTGGACTCCTTATGCCAATTCTGTGTGATAGGAATGCTAAAAATACCCACAAAATATATAGGGCACAAATAAATGGTCAATGCAAGTCTGGTTTTAGTACCATCAATCCTCTTAACTTAGAAGAACCAAACAGCTGTAAAAATTATATTTTACTGAAGATAGTAAAAAATCAAAAAGAACAAGAACTTCACAACTGTTTCACCAGTTGCAGAATAACCAAAAAGGCTTATGGAGGAAAATGAGTAACCAAAACATTGAGACAAAAACAGTTTCAGAACAATCCCCCCCATAAACCAAGAAAGCTAGGTAATCTATGGTAACACTTACATCGTGGCATAGCTTCAGCATTACTTCAGAGTGCAAGTTGTGTAGCAAAACAGCAAATGAGCATAGCATTCTCCTAAGAGACAACTAGGCTAAACTAAACAACTTCTATTCCCATTCTTATACCTAATCTTCCAGTTGTCATTTATTTATTGATTAGATGTCTATCCTGCCCTTTTAGACAAAGTCTACTCTGGGTGGGTTCCATCAAACATTATAAGCTAAAACAGTTAAAAACAATTAAAAACAATTCTAAACATTAGTAATTAGTAATGATAGTAGTGCTCCAGATAGGAAAACAGAAAATTATAGTAAAAATAAAGTCAAGTATTGACAGGAGGGAAGGCCTGCTGAAAGAGCCACATTTTTAATTGGCTCTTAAAAACACCCGGCAAGGGAGCCAGATGGATCACTGATGGGAGGTTATTCCAGAGCCGAGGGGCCACTGCCGAAAAGGCCTGGTTTCTTGTTCTTTCCCTCCGGGCCTCTCTCAGCATTAGGCCCTTCAATCGTCCCTCCTGGCTATGGCGAGTGATTCAGGTAAATCTAGGTGGGAGAAGGCGATCTGCCAGGTATTGAGGTCCTAAACCGTTTAGGGCTTTATACGTCATCATCAACTCTTTGTAGTCAATGCGGAAACAAATGGGCAGCCAGTGCAAGGCAGCCAGAGTGGGAGAGACATGCTGGTACTTTCTCACCCCACTAAGGAGTCTGGCCGCCGCATTCTGCACCATTTGAAGCTTCCGCATAATCTCAAAGGTAGCCCCATGTAGAGCACATTACAGTGGTCTAATCTCAAGATTACAAGCGCATGGATGAGAGTGCTGAGAGCCCCACCATCAAGATAGGGTCGCAGCTGGGCAATCCACCACAGATGGAAATAGGCGGAGCGGGCCATGGACGCCACCTGGGTTTCCATGGTAAGCAACGGCTCCAGAGGTATCCCCAAGCTGTGCACCACACTCTCTGCAGTGAGAGTCACCCTCCAAAAGAGAGGGAGTTTCTCAAACTGCCAATGGAGGGGCCACCCACCCTCAAGACCGCCATCTTGTCCGGGTTCAACCTCAACCCATTCAGCTGCCTCCATTGCAGCACAGCCTCCAGACTGCGCTGAAGGGCCAGAACGGCATCCACTGAGGTAGGTGAAAAGGAGATGTAGAGCTAAGTGTCATCAGCGTACTGATGGCACGAAGCCCCACACCTCCTGATGACCCCACCCAGCGGCCTCATATAGATGTTAAACAGCATTGGGGAGATGATTGATCCTTGAGGAACCCCACAGTTGAGACTCCACGGGGCCGAAACACTCTCCTCAAGTTGTACTCTCTGGGGATGGTCCTCCAAGAAGGATCAGAACCAGGCAAGCGGCAGGCCACCAATTCCCAGCTCAGAGAGCCTCCCCAGGAGGATACCGTGGTCAACGGTATTGAAGGCGGCTGAGATATCGAGGAGGACCAACAAGGACATTTCGCCCCGGTCCGCCTCCCTCAACAGTTCATCCAACAGTGCGACCAGTGCTGTTTCTGTGCCATGGCACGGCCTGAAGCCTGACTGGAATGGATCCAGCACACTGGTTTTGTCCAAAAGAGCCTGAAACTGATCAGCCACCACCCTCTCCACCACTTTGCTAAGGAAAGAAACTTTGGCGGCGGGCCTTTAACTGCCAATATCTTCCTCCACCAAATTTGGTTTCTTCCTGATGGGCCTAATGAGTGTCTCCTTGATGGCCAAGGGAACCTTGCCCTCCTGGAGAGACCCATTAATTATCACTATGGCCCATTCTGTTTTTATAGGCCTGGCTGCTTTGATTAGCCAGGGTGGGCAAGGGTCAAGGGAAGAGGTGGTGGCCTGACAGCGATCAAGCACTTTGTCCACCATGTCTGGCGTCACAGACTGAAAGGATTCAAATCTCACTGGGCAGGATGGAGTTCTGGACATCTCTGCTTGATCCACTGTATTTAAAAAAGGAGAGAGATCCTGGCGGATGGCCTCCACTTTAGATTTTTAAAATGCTGCAAATTGGTCAGGTGAGATATTAGTAGGAGCCTGTCACTTAGACCAATTCCAGATAGATCACGAACTATACGTTAGAGTTCCACCTGCTGATTTGAAGCTTTGCTTATCTGGTTAGTGAAATATGATCGTCTAGCAGCCCACACCTTAGCAAGGTAGTGGTTAGTTGCGATCTTGACAGCTTTCTTATTATAGACCATTGGTTTTCGTCTCCATTTGCACTCTAGCCGTCTCCTGTTTTGCTTCATAGCTCGCAGTTCCTGATTAAACCAGGGCCCTGGCCAAGCTCTGCGACGGAGAGGGCGTTTAGGAGTGATCGTATCTACAGCCAGCCAGCCATCAACCAGAGCCAGACAGATCAACAAGCCAGACAGACCAGCTGGAATCCCTCTCATGGCATCCTGGAATCACAATGGATCCAGTAGCCTTCGAGGTGGACCATTAAAATAGGTCCCTGCTCCCTGCGGGAGAGCCACTGAGAGGTTACATTTTATTAGGTGGTGATCTGACCATGACAAGGGAACTGAAACAAGATCAGTCACCATCAGACCACACTCGCTCCGCTCAGTGGAGAACACCAGGTCTAGCATGTGACCGTCCACGTGGGTGGGGCTGTTAACATGTTGGAATATGTCCAAGGAAGCCATGGTTTCCAAGAACTCAAGAGCTGGACTGGCAATCTCTGCCTCTGCATGGATGTTGAAGTCACCCAGGACCAGAAGCTGTGGGGACTCCAACAATGCCACGGAGACAAAGTCTGCCAGCTCTGGTAGGGAGGTGGCTAGGTTGTGGGGAGCGCGGTAACCCAGCAAGATCCCAATACCATCCCTGGCCCCAATCAACACGTGGAGGGCTTCCAGACCCAGCTTCACCACCAAAGAGTGCCTAATAACCTCCACGGTATTTTTATAAACAATGGCTACTCCCCCCTGCCCCTCCAGTCTACTCTGGTGCTGGACGGCATAACTGGGCGGACAGGCAAGGGTCAGAGGAACTCCCCCTTCCCTGCCCATCCAAATTTCGGATATGCACGCCAGGTCTACATCCTCCTCCAGAATAAGATCTTGTATAATCTGGGACTTATTGGACACAGACCTGGCATTCAACAGCACCAGTTTTAGAGTGGAGGGCCGGCTGAGCTGACTACCTCAAGACTGGCAGTTGGTCACAGTGCCAGAACAGTGAACAGCCTTCAAACATCTGTTCCATCTGTGCCAGACTCTTCCAGAAGATCTGCCAATCAGGCATCAAGTTTCTCTGAACTTTCACAAAGAACAGAGTAACGTCTTCCCCCTCCCTTCACTCAGCTGAAACCATTCTGCTAACTTACTCTGTAGCAAGGAGTGACCTCAAACTAGCCTTGAAGTTTCATTTCTCACAGAGATAATGCACAGGTGTTTGCCAACGTTCAATTACATTTTGGTCAGCTAATTCTAGGCACAAACTACAAGGCCTGATTTTCCAGAAGAACAATAGATACCACAATTCCTCATTTTCACAATATATTGACCTTCCTGATTAAATGCCCCAGCTCTTCCTGGTATATGCACTAAAAAAAAGAAGTGGTACTTCTGATGTATCTCAAGATGGCAACACAACTGTGTGGTTCAGATCAAATGCAAACCGTTAAGTAAATGGACAACACTGTTTTGCAGCAAGCTGTACCACTAAGGTATGATAAAACAGGTGTGAAGTTGAAACTGCCAACAAGAATAAACAGCTAAAAAGCCTAAGCCGGTCTTACCATTAGACAGAGTGATGCAGATGTCTCAAGCAGCAGGGTGCCAGGAGAGGAAATCTGTGTTGGTCCCTCTGTCCAAAAGAGCCTCTTTCATCACTGCCTGGACTGTAGTGACTGTGTCCACTGCCATACCCTGTGATTCACCCAGTTCCTTCTTGCAACCACCACAGGCCTCATGCAGCCCCTTGCTAGCCCAGCCCAGCCAAGCCAGTTTTAGGACAGCAAGTTAGGGAGGCTGAAGCAGATGCCAATTGGAAAGGGGTTGGGTGGGTTTCTAGCTGTAGCCTTAAGGGCATTTTGAACCCCCGCTGAAAGAGTGGCATCTTTCTCTTCCATGATCTATGCCCTGGCCCACTTCCCTTCCATGCCCATCATTCCTTAAAATTTAAGTTTTAAAATTCAAAAGTGGGATGATTGGTAGGTAGGTACATAGGTAGGGAGAGAGAGATGACAACTGTCTTCTCCTGTCAGGTCATTCTATACTGTAACTTGCAGCCTCTTCATAATATTTTTCCTAATCTCTTCAGAATCTCTCCTCCCCTCCCCCAGTTTTTTTAAAATTTGCTTGTTGGAAGAAAGCAGATGTGTTGGTCTTCCATCATAGTGTCCGCTAAAATCATACATCTTTTTCCTCACCCATAATTATATTAAGCCCTTTCCTTCTTCCATTATGTAATGGAGCACGGAGACTGAAGGCTTTTATTATTTTTATTTTTATTATTACTATTATTCCTAGTGATGCTGAGGGTGGCTGAGGGCCAGCTCTTGGCTGCCCCCCCCTGATGGATTTGTCAGCAATCCAGGAGCTTTACAGAACAGACAAAGTCTTCCATCTCTGTTAATCCTCTCCTGATACGGAAGATTTCCCTGCCATTAAATGATAGCTTTTGAGAGTGGGAAAAAAAATGCATCCTCTCCAGAAGAGCTGAGCTGGAGGAACAAAGGACAGCACAGCTGCCACCATGACAGGTAAGCAAGGCGCCTCCACTTCTTCTTTCTCTAATTTCCTTTGAGCCTCCATTTCTTTGGCAGTCTTGTTGTGAGCTGTTAGAGGCAAAAGTGGTTTTCATTGTTTCCATCCACTGAATTGGGCAGGTATTTCCTAAAAACATAGTTGAAGACTGAATCTTATCCAAAATGATTTGAGAGTAATTCCCAGTGGGTTCAAGGGGAGATGCTTTATGTTTTAATAAACATGGACAAATGGGTTGGTGGATCTCTTTTGTTCTGACAAACAAACAAACAAACAAACAACCCCCCCCCCAAAAAAAAACTGACTGGGAAGGTTAGTAGGACACAGAAAAATCACTTATGGCATGACGTTGGGAACAGAATGCATTTTAAATCACCAGATGGCATGTTAAAAAGCATTAAGATGGTAAGTTATTGTGACGCTTACATGGGAATGGTATCCATTCTTGCTTCTGTCTGATTTTAGATTTGGAAAATTGCTTGCCAGACTTGAGATGCCGCTAGTGAATAATCAGGGTAATGTTTGTCATCATTTTAAATGGTAAGTGTACTATTCATTCTGTGGGATTCAATAGCAACTTCTATAATTAGCAGCTCTTTTATTCTGAAATAATTTGTCACATTTCTGCCAAATGCTCAGTGCAGTTAATCTGTTTTTTAATCCAAAATTTGCCAGGTGAGTATCATTTACCTCTTATAACTACGAAATCCCTTTTTTGTTCTCCTGCCTTTCAATAACACCTCAGCTTCAATTTTGTTTTTTACTTTTCTAAATCTTGCTTGGTATATAGATTAGACAAATAGAGCCAGTTCTTGAACTCTTTTATACAAGAGAAAATACACGATCCGGTCGTCCCAAACCTGTGTATTCATTTGCTGACTTGCTAGTCCAGTACAGTATGTATCTGTACTCTGCCATTCAGTGTAAAATTTCCAAAATGGATGTAGTTCAATTACGTATCTTTTGCTTTCTACAATTTGCAGTATATGGATGCCTGCTGCATAAGTCAAGTCAGGATGTGAAGAACAGAACCACTTTGTTATATTGAGACTGGCTTTAATTACTTTAACTATCTGAGCAAAAAGGGAATGAATAACATTGCTAATTCCCTCATACAGTGAGGTAAAATGGGGTAAAGGAAGCACCTAACATTCAGGCTAATGTTCCTTTGACTCAGTTTATCCTCTTTTTATTTGCATGGCATGCCTAACCTTTTCAGGGAATTTATTGTGGATATGATTTGTATGAATTGAGATCTAAAGAAATAGTAGTAGATTGTGTTGTAACTGTGCAGGCAGGTGATTTTGAATGCAGACTATTGTGCCAAGAGAAGTTGACCAGCAAATGTATGTAATGTGTATTCTATCCAGTTGAATATATTGTGAGCTTCTGGGAGATGAAATGCTCCCTCCCCAAAATTATATGCAGCTGGTGAGCTGACACAGTAAAGCTAAAAAATATAAATACTGTATATTCACATGACTTATATATGTATATATTTCTATTTATACATTGTAACCTGCAATGGTGGGGTGGGAAGGGGATGCAGAGCAATCTGTCCACACTTAATTTAGCTTAAGTAGGGCTGTAGTTCAAAGGTAGAACAAAGATTTGCATCCCAGATTTAGTCACTAGGGTAATGCAGGTAGAGCTGACAAGGACCTTCCCCCTTTTCTGAAACTCCAGGGTGCTGCTGGCACCAGTCTATGTAATTACTGAGCTAGATGGTCCAGGGTTAATCCTCTTAAATTGGTGGGGGTGTAAAACTGGTGGTTCTCCAGGTATCAAACTCCCATTAGCCTCAACCAGCATGGCCAATGGCCAGGCATGATGGAACCTCCAGTCTTACATCTGCAGGGTCAAAAGATTCCCCACCCTTATAGGTCTCTGTCTATAAGTCCAGCTTTGCAGTCACCAATGAAATCTGGCCTTTCTTTCTGCTGCCAGAGGCATTCTAATGATAACAACGGTGTCTCAGCAAGAGGGACCTTAGAAACCATTCTAGCTTCTCCCTGCTCATCCTGAGTGTTGTGATTTGTCGTCAGGTTTGTGAATCATCATATAATTAATTGTCCCCAAGCTATTTAAACAGAAGGGGGTAAATTATGGTCTGAATGGACCATGGGCTAGCCTACTGAGAACGAGCAACTCTGGCATGGGTTTCGGAATGTAAAGAACTGCAGCAGACTTCAAACTTCTATTACCATGTCTCCTTTGCACTTCTGTGTAGGACGGAGGAGAGTTTCTGGAAGTATATTGCTCACTTCCTTATACTTTAATAAAAACAAGAGTAAGAGGTTTTGAGTGAGATGTTTTAATTTAGTCTCATAACCCACTTGATTAAGAATCCTATCTCACCTCCAAGCTGTTACAGGAGGAATTTTACAGGCAATGTAAAATTAAGGTATATGTATGCACCTAATAAGATAATTGTTGTAGTGCAGTCCTTTAAATTCCATAAGCTTACATACAGACACACATTTAATTTGTAAAGCTTTTAACTGATTTTTCTCCCTTGGGTCCCCCAAAATCCATTAGCAATTTGGAGCATCATCTAGGCTGTCTTTGATCCCCAGACAACAACAAAAAGATTAAAAAGTCAGATTCTATTTTCTATTGGAAATATCTTTAAATGCCAATATTAATACAGCATGTAGGGATGAAATGAAATATAGCTCCTTGAAGAACAGCCTGAAAAAGGGTATGTTTCTGCCAATTTTCTATTCAAAGTTGCTCTCCTGCAGCTTCTCTAGCTGCAGATTAAAAGGAACAGAGGGCCTCTCCAGACTGGCCATTTTGAATGTGGGATGAATCAGGCTACAAAGGGTCTGTTGAGGTTGTGGGGAGTAGTGATGTACCATTTGGTGTGCTCCACCTATCTGAACAGAAAAAACAAAACAAAACACCTTGTAGCCTAATCAGCTGTCAATTAAGAATCCCCCCTGATCCTCTACAGTGAATTTGGTTTTTCCTCCATTGCTCCTCTCTCACTCTGTTGACACCATTCCATTTTCTCCCTTCCTCCTCCCTGCTTCCCTTCCCTTTTACTCCTCCCACTTTCTCTCTCAAATTCTCCCTCAGAATCTGCAGCTGGTGGAGCCTGCTATCCTCCAGCTAAACAATAAGCTTGCTGAAAAGAATGCATGCTTTACTGCTGGGCCAGAAAGTTGTGTGACAGCTCTTAAAGGGGAAGGATGGATTGTTCAAAGTAGAAACTCCAGAGGATGAAGTCTTTTTTTTTCAAGCCAAACTATGCCCTCAGTGATCCATATATCATATCTATATGCCAGTGTGGACAGACCTTCAAAGACAATACTGTACATTCCTTGTCTGATGTGAAGGGGGGCAATTTTGAGTGGAAATAGTGGGAGGGAAAGAGTTTAAATAGCAACCCCACCCCACGCAGTTCCTCTGCTCAAAGTTATAGTCAAAAGAGTCATTCTGTTTTAATCAGATGGCGTTTGTCATCAAATGGCTATATTCCTATGGCAGATTTACTTTTGGGGGAGTGAATACATAAATCTTGCCAGCAAATTGGGACTCCTTAGAGAGCTGTTTGACCTGGTGCACAATTCTGTGTGTTGAACTGTGACTTAAGTCAATACGCATTAGCATTGTCACAAAATATGCACTAGGTGTTGTCTTCTCTCGCCCATAGCTCCTTAACCTAAGATCCTAAATTATTTGCTCAAACTAACTAGAATAATCTTTTTGACTTATTCAGAGTGAAACAACATATGGTCCCGTCAGAAGATAAGCTGGTGCAATTTATGGACTTGCATGGTGGTTAAATGTCCGCCTTGTCTGCACAGTCTCATCACTGTCCTAATCCATTGGCTAGCCTGCAGAGTGTTCATGGCACACTTCCCTGTTCCCTTCCCAGCTTTGCCCAGGCCAAAGAGTCCTAGGCTTGGTTCCAGCAACACCCTGGAATTATGGCTAGAGGATGGGGGACATGTTCTAATTCTGTAAATGAGGGCACTTCCTTCCGTATCAAAAGTATGCCAAGAGGAATGGTTGGTTTTGCTAAACTCTTATCACGTCACAAGATCTAGGGAAGGTTTAGTATACTTCCATTCTTCCAAAATGTATGGAACCTTCTCTCCATTAGTGTTTCATTCCATTGGATTATTGGTTTCTAGATTCATTTGCTGCATGGATGATTCAGAACCTTTTGTGTTTCAATGCCCCTAATGTTCACTAATCTCTGCTTTCTCTCTTCTCCTTCCCTTGCTTTCTGTGGTGACACACTTACTTCCCAGTTTTCCTTTGCATCCCCCGCGTCTGCTCTGTGTGGGCCTGTGTTCGCTCTTGCCCTGTCAGCTGTGTGTGCACTCAAGAGAGGAGCTGCTCCATCCTTTGTGACCGAGCTGGCCTTACGCAGATCCCCAGTGAGTTTCCTTGTGAAGCCTACTCTATTAACCTGGATAAAAACAGCATCAAATTCCTTGCTGAGAGGGCATTCGGTACCCTTCCATCCCTCAGATCACTCTCATTAAGTCACAACAATATATCTTTCATCACTCCTGGAGCTTTCAAAGGGCTAGCTAGCTTGACAGAGCTAAGAATGGCCCATAACGAATACATTCGGTATCTGCATACGAGGACATTCACTTCGCTCAAGAGGCTAGTAAGACTGGATTTAGCAGACTGCAACCTTTTCAATATTCCAGACAGGATTTTTATAGAGCTTCCATCTCTTAGGGAACTCTTTTGCTTTCAGAACAACTTCCGAAGGATTCCAGGAGCTATAAGAGGGATGGAGAATTTGACCCATGTTTATCTGGAGAAAAACAGGATAGAAGCTGTAGCTTATAATTCCCTCCTGGGTCTGACCCGACTGAAATATCTCAATCTGCAAGACAACAGAATAAATGTAATCCATGACAGGGCATTTCAGGATTGTAAGAAAGTGGAGTACCTTTATTTAAATGACAATTTTATCAGCGATCTCCCTGAAAATTCCTTTGATGGTCTGCAGCGACTGAAGATGCTCAACATTGGTGGAAACCTCCTCAGGAATGTCTCCCATACCTGGTTCCGGGACCAGTTTGAACTGGAAGTTTTGTATTTGGACAGAAACCGGATCAGCTACATTGAGGAAGGGGCTTTTGAAAACCTCACAAGCTTGGTGTCTTTGCACTTGAACAGTAACAATTTAACCACCTTGCCTTTCTCAGTCTTCCAGCCTGTCTACTTCATAGGGAGACTCTACCTTTTCAGGAACCCCTGGGAATGTGACTGCAGGATTGAGTGGCTTAAGGAGTGGATGGAAAATTACAGACTTGTTAGAGATATTCCTTGTGCCTCCCCATCTTCTGTGGCTGGTCTTGACTTAACGGAGGTTGCTTTTGAGAGGACACTCGATGGCTTCTGTCTCGATCCAGAAGAGTTAAATGCCACAGCCTACAGTCTTTTTCCAACAGGAGAGCCACAGTCGACCACAGAGAACAGGTTTAACAGCCTTATCTCCAAATTTCTACTCCAGAAGGGCCTTTCAGAAGAAGTAGTAAACACCACAGAGAGTTTTATCAATACTACTTTGTTCGATGGATTGGCTAATCAGGCATCCTTTGGACTAGGGGAATCCAGTATCAAACTATTGTGTTCTTTTAACCTTTGGCTACTCATTATATCTCAAGCAGTAGAGGGTAAATAGCTCACAGCATTTCTCAGATTAATTAAGAATTTAGTTTTTGTACAGGATAAAAGCCATTATGGACAGTCATGGATCAGTGAAAAGTGGCTGCATGGTAAAGTTGAAGGGTTTTTTTTCCTACTAGGAAGATTTTGGAAAACAGTCTTAGTCAACCTGAATTTAAAGCAGCAGGCTTTTATATAGGATCAGTAAAACATTTTGTTTTACATGTAGAGTGCTATTATAATTGCATAAAAGGAGGGGAAACCTGATGCTGTTAAAATGCTGAGAAACAAGGAGAAAATTATTCTGCATGGATCCTCTATATCTGGTAATCACAAATTTAGCAGGATCTAGTTGTTGTTTATCATGTTTTCTTTTCCACTCAAAGCTCTTATAAACACAGCCCCTGACAAGGATATTCCACAATTTTCAAATAATTATTTTCATTGTCTATGTTTTGCATTATTCCTCATTTTACTGTGGAGGAAATCTCACTGTTACTAAAATACACCACACTTGTGAGACTGGTTCTACCGAGAAAGCCCTGTCATATTTACTGATCTAATTCAAGTCTCCTCAGAGGATGATAAAATGCAATCAAAGCTGCCTTTGCTTGTCTTTCTCACGATTCAGGAATTCCATAAAATTTATTCTAAAACGAGCAACCTTAAACTCATGTTCCTCAGCAAATTATATTTGCAGGTGTATTGCCCCTGTTAGTGGAGGTAACATATTGCCATTTCTTATCTTCCATTAGTTTATGTAAGCCCATTTCAAGAACCATCCACACTGGCAGCAATCACTATCTCGTGGTAGAAAAAGTACTTTTCCCTTGTCACGAAACTCCACTATTCACTTCAGTAGGTTCTAGTATTTTGAGGGAGTACACTGTGTTCCCAGTATGGTCACACTATACATGTGTGTAAAGGTATGAAATGGAGGGCTCTAGCTTTGATTCTTTTGTTAATGATCCCAAAGAGTATCACAGTCACTACTATGCATGGTTTTCATTCTGCGTCTATCACACCTCTAACCTGGTTAGTCAGTCGTGGGTCTCTCAGATGCCATTAGAATAATTGTGAAGTTAGGATCTTTTGTTTAAAATTGTGGCACTTTATACTTGCTTGCATTAAACTGCATTTTCCATTTTAATATGCATGTATCCACTTTAGAAATCACTGTATTTCAGAGTTCTTCATAATCTGCATGACTTTTAGAAATAATGTGTCATTTGCAAAGCTGACTACTACACTTCTCGTCTGAATCCAGAACATTTGCAAACAAGTTTATGACTTTTAGAAATAATGTTGTGTCATTTGCAAAGCTGACTACTACACCTCTTGTCTGAATCCAGAACATTTGCAAACAAGTTTACAAAAAACACAGGTTGCAAGATGCAACGATTTACCTTGCTCCATTTAAAGAAATGTCTGTTTGGTTTTCCCCTCCAGATTTCCTGTTCATTTAACCAGTCAACAAAGCATAAGAACATTTATTCTCTGACATCTTGGCTTGCTTAGGAATTGTTCAGGGGTTAGGGGACCAGCAAAAAGGCCTTGTGAAAGTTCAAAGTGAACAGTGCCTATTACATATGTGCACTGGTCTAATTCTGAACAAAGAAGCACAAATTGGTGCCCAACCCACCCTGAGACCTTCCAATGCAATCCAAACTGGCAGAGAGACTCAGAGAACCTCCACACTGCCCCAGTTATCAGAGTGGGTAGGTGAGGCTAGGGAGTTCATTGCAGGGGCGGAAGCTGCCAGGCTTCTTCTTTGGCACAAGATTTACATCCTCCATATAAGATACTGTTAGCTTTGATTCCCCTTTCCCCACTTTTGTTTCATGCCATGTCCATTTAATTTTCACATTTTCAACCCTCCAATTGCTAGATTTAAAATGAACAATCCATGGAGTGGATGCTGCTTCGCCCTTTGAGTGTCCCTTGGAGCTTTGCTCAGCCATGTGGCCACCTTGGAAAAACTTAAACAACTCTGATTCAGTTAGCATTTCAGCCTTTGAACAAATATGGTGCTCATCCCTACTGACTACTGCACTACCCTTCTCCACATATTTGTTGATCCCCACAAGAGCTCTACAAGATTAGTAAGACAGAATTTACTTTTGCAAAACCCATGCTGATTCTCTTTCAATAAGGCTCGTCTTTTTCTCTGCTTGATAATGTTATCTTTAATAAAGCTTTCTGCTCATTTAACTGGCAATGAGACTAATCTATCTGGTCTGTACCTTTCTAAACCCCCCCTTTTAAAAATTGTATTACACTAGCCAATCTCCAGTCCTCTGGCATCTTAGGAGTGTTGCTAAACAGCTGACAAAATAGGTAACAATTTCACATTTGGGTTCTTTCAAAACTCTCGGATGGATACCATTATAATCTGGAATTTGATTGGTGTTAGTAGAAAATGGTCAACACTTCAGTTAGTAGTTAGTGTGCCCCCAAATTTAATTCAGTTACATTAAAGTTGGAGTGGGCAAATTAACAGTTAGGGTGATGCTAAACTGCTATGTAACTTAGATGGCTACAGCAAAGTCTTACAAGGAAAAAAAGTTGAAATATCTCATCTATTAAGTTTATGCCTTTCCTCTACCACATCTCTCTCTATTTTGAACTCTGGAGAGAAGGAAGCAGTCACATGAATTTTTGGAAACCCATCGGGCACTCCCCCAAAATTCTTCCCTTGGTTTCTCTGTCCCCCTCTTATAAACCCATCTCTTTTCCTTATCCTTTTATAACTTATTGATACTCAAGTGGATCCCAGCAATATATCCAGGGACTGGTCAAAATTCAGTTTCTGGGGACAGATGAGGAGTCCCTGTGTAGCGCAGAACACAAAACCACCATCTTGATATTTTAAAAAGACTACTAACTCCTTCCAATCAGTCTTTATTATCTGTTGTTTAAAAATCTTTAAACCTTGCTCCATAAGGCTAATTAAATAAAGAAAGCAAAGTGACCATGTTTACACTCATTTGTTCTACAGTATATATGCATCAGAACTGAAAGAGGCTTTGTCTTAAGAAATTAAGACAAAGAAATTCACAGAATTAAGACATTCACAGAATTACAGTTGCCTAATAGTACAGTCCCCCCTGTATTCTTATTCCTATACATAGGTTTATTGGTGTTTGCTATTTGCTTCTGACTTATGTGTGCTGGGAGCAGGACTGTCCACGGCAGGACCTTTGAAGGCTATTCCTTCATAGGGTTGCTGTAAATCAGAAGCAACTGTATAACAGTGTATAACAACAAAAGCTTGTTTATTTATTCGTTACATATAAAGCTTGTCTTTTTCCAAACTATTTTTTTGTGAAGATATTTATTTTTCAGTAAAATACATATTTCTGAAGAATCTTAAATTTAAATAAAATTTAAACTGAATTGCTCCTCTCTTATCCAAAGCACTGACTTAATTGTCTATTTCAAGTTAATTGTTACTTTCCAGCTTTGGGATTTCCTTGCTGTATCATAATTAACCTTTTGAACTGTTGTGAAGACCTTGGGAAACTTAGTTTTTCGGAATGCAACTCCCATTGGCTTGGGTTCTGGAACTTTGTAGTTTGATTCCTGTCATTTCCAAGCTCTGCTTCCACCTGGTGTGATGATTATCACTGGTTTAGATGGCTGTAAACAAGGGTGAGATCTATCTTTTCGACAGCTTTTGCCTCTCACATTTACATGGCTCTTCTCTCTTCAGAGACTGTTTCTCTCCAAAGGCATGGATACAGTTGGGATGGAAAAGAGGGGGAATGGGCTTTATCAAAATTAGGTCTGTTGTTGGTCACAGGAGCCAGCATGCTGTAGAGACCATGTAGTGATAATGGGCAAGCTATCTTACCTGTGCTGCTTACTGTCCATCACACACCCTTGTTTCATCTGGTTAAAGAACCATTAGATAACTCATCATGTGTTTAATAGCAAGTGAGAGGGCGAAACCGCTTGCATGGTTGTCCTTATGCACAGTTTTCTTAAACAGGATTCTGGGTTTGCCTCTTTTCTCTGCTGACGAGATGGGGCTCAGACACAGTGCGTTAAATAAAAGAACACATATGAGGTGGAGTAGCAACATACCAGTAAGCATCTATTCTGGTCATGTGAACCACCCTGCCTGTTTCTCTACACTTCTCCAAGAAGAACTACACAGGCATCTGCATGAGATTCTTTGACAGCGATGGGGGTGGGGAAGCAGGAAGCAAATCACCAAGTACTATTTATACATTTGTATTGACTGCTGCATTAGAACCTCTTCATGAGTTTAGAAGCTGTATCTAAAGACCATAATGGATGTGATAAACGTTTGGAAAATTCTTAACTAGATTTTGCTTTGTCTGTAAGTGATCTGTGATGCTCTAGGCAATGTATGTGCTGCACTGCTAAAAACACATTTATGGAATGCTAGAAGCTATGCTGCGTGAGGAAAAATGTACTCAAGCACTTGGAGATCATGCTGTGTGGCTTGAACTATTCAAAATGTTTGCTATTTTTGTGTTCCCATGTTGCTTCCAACATGTAAGAACCCTATGAATAAATGATCTCCAGAAGGTCCCACAACTGACAGCTCAGCTAACATCATGCAAACTACAGTCTATGGTTTCATTTATGTTAATCTGTGTCATGTTTTGACCTTTCTCTTTTCCTTCTGCTTTCCTTGTCCTTTTCTTTATCCAGGCATTATACTAAACTATACCTAAATATAAAATACTTCAGTCCAGAATCCACCAGAACTGCTGTAGATCCTGCTATCCCCTCCAAGCCAAAAGAACTGCAGAGCCATTTCTTTGCATGGTGTGGAGTGCTACAGGAGATTTGAAAGCTGAAGGAAGTTTCATGGCATTGGCCATCATGGCATTGGCTGTAGATGCCAAAGAACAAAATGGCTACTTAAAATTTCCTTAAACAAAGAGACTGCTTCTAAATATCAATCATTTTCTTACACAGTGGCTGAAATCCTGTTCTGTAACTTATGCCACCTAAGGCTAATGACATCATCAGCCACGGCGATTTTTTTTGGGGGGGAAATAAAAGCATTCTGTTCCACCCCTCTCCCCAAAGGCTCAGAGGTCCCCATGACATCCCTTTTGTCATGGAGAAGCCCTTGGGGGCTGAGGGAAATTAGTTAGTTTCTGAAAATTGTCACTGCTGGTAAAATCGTACTGGTGGTGGCAATTTTCAAAATTTAAAGAATTCCTCCCACATCACATGGTCCCCAATGGCTTAATGCAAATAAATGAAAGGGATCCCATGGCAGTCTCAGGACTTTTCAAGGATTGTGGTGGAAATAGGAAAGGTTTTACTTCTAAAAAAAATGCTGTAGCTGATGACATCATAAGCCTTATGTGGCATAACTCAAGGCAACAGGCTTTCAGCCTATAATTAGTATTCTAGGAAGACACCACACATCAAGTTTTAAGAAACAGATTCAAAAAGCAAAATCCTTCACAATGGATGACAAATGCACAATGTATATGAGAGAGCAGTGATCTTAATGATTAAGGCCTCAGACAGTTCTGACTCTTTCCTAACAAGATATTGTATCTTTTGAACAGAGTTGTCCTTTATTTTTCCTCAGAATAGCAGCCACAGTAAGAAATAACGATCATGGATTGGATGGATATGTCCTGTTTAGCTGTTCTTAGCTAGCTCCTGTTGAAACCTTGGTCTGTTGTCTGACTGTTTTACAAAACAAATGTCTTTCTGCTGTATGCTTAATGCTGTGTGATTGCATGATTACTCATCTCAATTATACAAAACACAGAAACATCACAGCAGTAGAAAAACATGCAAGTGGTTTTGAGTGGTGTGTTAAGTACATCAAAATTATGACATTGCAGCTGATACAAAGAGTTATATGACAATTTCCCCGGTGAATAAAGGAGGCAGATGGTTTGGTAACTACTTGATTGATCTGTTCTGGGCATTATATTCAATGACTTTGGATTTCCAGGTTATTTATAAATGCAATAATCTTCTTAAATGCTAGATTTCAACTGCACATTATAACAAGTTCCCTCCCCTCACACTGCTCCAAGCTTGCATCAGGGAAATGCTGTAGATTAAGCTGAGGATTTCTGTGGGAGGAATATTGTGCATCATGTGACTTGAAATCTGACAGCAGAAGTCTGATAGAATTGCTGCCAACAGGCATGAACCAGGAAATGGGTGAACAGGAATACTCATTGGTTTGCCTTTCCTGTACTAGCTGTTGTGCTACATTACTTACTTAGGAATTGCTCTTTTTTAACCACATT